TCAGTGCTGTCATTACTCCTTGAACAACACTACACATCATGCGCAAAAGCTCACCAAATATCAAGAAGGGAGCACTGAGGATCATTAGCATAAAGAAACTGCAGAGAAAACTGTGAAAAATGTAAGTAATGAACAGAAGATAATAATCGAAGCCTGCCAAGCCCGATTTTTGCCTTGATCCAATCATGGGCCGAACCCTTTACGTAGACATGAGCGTTCCACTCCACTAACAAAAAGCGACGATTCCGCTTTTTCCATGAGCGTTCCACTCCAACTTGTTGAGAGACTTAAAATTTACGGTATGCAGCGTTTGGTCTAGAGTAAAGCTTTCCTTGACAAGTGGTGTGTTTCCATTGCCTACGATCATTTCATATCCTCAAAGGAACTTGTTCCATTTTATTGATGAAGACGAATGAATATTCTAGGGAGATTCGGGAAGCCCGTTGATGTGCGAAAAGAACGGTGCGAGATACGTGTTGGGTGTAGCAGCGTTTACATCGAAGCGCAAATCAGATGCAAGACCGCTTTGTGCCGATGAGATAGGAGTACGTTTGATTAGTATTAATCGGCAGAAGTACGAGAATTTTGAATAATTTCAGCACTGCCTGGAATATTGGATGGTCGTTGATGGCAGCATTACTGAGGTTCAATTATGAGCATTAAATTGTGAACACGTTAACGTCGTGCAATTGCAGGCTGACAAGTACGGATTTTTCGATGACATCAGACAGCATTTGAAATGGATTCGCAACGAACTAGTCAATTATGAACTGTTCGATGGCCTCAAAGCCAATTACCAAAGATGTGCTATTCAATAGTGCTCTGACTACTGTGATCATGTCGTTTTCTAGACTCAATATTCAATCCGATGAACTTCATCAATANATCAGGATCATAGAAGATAATAGATAAACACAATTCATTTTATTACGTGTTCATTGAGTAGTTGGGTTCAGTCTGATGAAAAAGTAAATTTTTTGCTGCATTTGCAATAGATGTCGTGCGACACAACACTTCCGGGAATTGTTTATTAACGTTCGCTCTTCGGAGCACTGGCAAATCGCTAAAGGTAAATCGGCTTCACAGCGTACCGAATCGAATCGGAACTCTTCATACCGCTCGACTGTCATTTCACAGCATTAGTGTCACAACATTATCTCATTCGATGAACCCAACTTATGATTTAAGCATACAGCAATCACAAACAAGTCTTACCTCCGAAGCCAAAAAAAACTTTTTAGGCGTCCTCAAAAAGTATCACTGTAGTATACCGCTCGATGGTACATTAAAAGCCGAAATATATCGAAAGTCGGTGTCGCGAACCTCTAATAATTATGCTAAATGAGGGCAATACATCAGAGGAGAAGCTGAGAACCCAGTGGGTACAAAAAACTAGCTTTTTTTTGGAAAGGTACAAAAAATTGCCAGTTCCATGCAACTGATAGTACCTCCTCCTCGACGAATTAAACAAGCTCTTTGAGTGTGAAGGTTGCTATGTTGTTAATATACTTCAAAATTCTTGCAANATGTTCAGTGATGTTTCCGAAATGCTTGTTTAATCATAAGAAATTGATTCCTTCAAAGTCACCAACAAACTTCTGCCAGCAAACTTCCTGATCATCAGATCAGTTTCCTGATTTTCTGCTGATTTATCGTTATGGATTAATAGATTATCACACAAGGTGTAGCGACGACAAAAGAAAATTTGTCTTATGCGCATAGAAAAGTTGTTGTGTGGGGTTGTTGTTCGATTGTTGACTTGTGGTACAGAAGAATCAAATAACACCGAACTACGTTGAAAAATCGCTAAGTTTACATGTTTCTATAGTTCCAATTTTATACACCAATACACATAAAATCCATATGACCAATCAATTATTCACTTTGAATTCATAAATTTCTATGCATATAATAGTGATAAAACTGCAAATGATATGAAAATGGAGACAAATACAGACGATTGAGATTAATAACGACGTCACATACGATTGAAATTACCGGAAAGTATCAAAACATTTGCAATTTGGTCCGCATTCGTTCAACCAATTGACTGCTTTGATCATTCAGTTAGTTTTACCGGTTGAAAATTTGAACTATTAGGATCAAGTCAAAACAGAATGGATTTCATAGGTGCTCACCAGAAAAATACATGGGAATGTATTAAAGTTGAGACTGATTGAAAGTGAGACGAAACGTCAAATAAATCAAGCAAAATAAACTGACGTAAAACTTTACTCAAAGAATTACGGAGAAGATTAATGGAACAGTGCACTTTAGTATCTATGTTAACTTATGCAGGAATTATCCAACAAAGAGGTATCAAGACTCCAAATAGAGAGAAAGAATTTCTGATGGCTTATCATTTATTTTATTCATTTGGACCTGCCAAAACGATAGTTAATTCTAGAAGATCAATGAAAAGTATAGTTGAAAAAAACAACTTGATGAAATACAAATGAACGTGATAAACGAAAGTTGATACAGGTGAATGAACGAGAAACCACAAAACCAATAGACTAAAAACTTTTGAAAAAAATTCACTACAATCAACTGCGATCAGAAACGACAACAGTATGCAAACCATTGCAAGCTGCCTGCAGAAAACGACGACAAAATTCGGTCGCAAATCTACGACCAGAATCGCCCGTCATGCGCTTTGTATACCTTTCACACTGCGAGCAACCCTATAAGTTAACAATTGAAATTCGATGCACTGAATGAACAATTGTAAATTCGGAGCATTTTCGAATATCTCATTTATTAAAGCGACAAAATATAACCTGATCTATGTCGACACTGTGATTATTCATTAACTCGCTCGACAGTTTTTCTTGGCTGGCCATTTCTTCTACCTAAAACCTCACAATCGATGAATAAGATCATTTGAGCTGCTGGAGCCTATAGGGTTTCTGAGACGCATTATAGATCACTCATTCATTCATCAGTCATTATCATAACTCTTAGTTACAAAATTACTTTAAATCATTCAAACTGGTCGCTCCGGATCTGATTCAATCTGATAAAAATTGGTCGAATTAAATGATCAAATAAAAAAGTGGCAAGTACACCGGTTGCTTAACTGAACTGAACAGTAGACTCAGAGCCAAATTGAAGATGATGATGAAAAAGTAGAGCAAAGAAAATCGTGCGAATAAAGATGCTCCTTGCAAACTTAATTTTTTCAAATTTGACAATCCGTGATTGACGGGCAGTGGATTTGATTGCAAAGAATGACTTGCTGTTTCAAGCTCGCTTCTGCGGTTAGTTAATGAAATCGCTGAGTTGCATGCTGACGATGAAGTCGGGTTGCCGTCTGATGAAATTGAAGTGGCGCTCTCTGTTGTCGTTCGATTAGAAGAGATGCGTTCGGTTGAGAGAAGTTCATTAAATTGAGCAGCAGCAGTAGTATCGACTGTATTAAGAAATGTCTGCGAATATAATTTTCGTGGTTTATTCGATGCATTACTGTCCGATGGGCTGAATGATACCGTTGATGGCGAACGTTTGTAAAAATTTGATGGACGATTTTCATCATAAAATCTCAAATGATTGTGACCGTCAACATCCATGGTGTCATCACATTCATCTTCGAGCAATTTACGCTTCCTATTTGATGTTACAGATCTACTTGAACGGATGTTGTTGACAGAAGATTGGGAGGGGAAAGAAGACGCTAATAATGGTGTCGGTATTCTATGCTGAGTCGCACTCAGAACTTCACGACTGCGTCTAGATGGAGTCCCATCAGTGCCTCCTGTAGTCTCAAACGAATTACCCATTTCATCAACGGGTAAGTTCTCATTTTCTTTTGAGGTGTCGCCATCAACATCCTAAAATTCATCAGTGTTGCGAATGAATGCTTCAGGAATAACTTTGAAAGCCTAGATTCAGAAGTATTTAGTCGACGACGGCGAACAACAAACGCAATAAGCAAATAATAGTGATAAACAATATCATGTATTCACTGATGCAAACAACAACGCTTCGTTACTAGTGCCATCATCAGGGTGCCAATGGTGACCTCAATGCCGAAACGTTACTTCTTGAATAAATGAACAATACACCGTCGCCGTTGCTAACTGTTTATCAATAATAACATCTAAATATATATCTCAAGTCGACTCAGAGTTCTCTCAGTAGAAGAACATGACTTCCTCATGAAATTCCTTCTCATGAAAAAGCACACAGATATTAGTTACCACAAACTACATTTCTTTTTTTTTCTGGCTATTTTTAAAAACAGAGAGGAGTGCTTTCAAGGACGCGAAAATGATAATGAACGACTGAGAAGTTACCAGTTTTGAAGTGCACAATATACACAGCCACGTCCCATCGTTGACCGCACTCGGCTCACATTTTTGATGTACGCCACTTCCACACTGCTAATCCACGAGAAAACAAAGAATTAAAAACGATCACAAAGAATTACGACTTAAAATTAACATCGCCATCACTTTAATCAGTCGCGATCATGGAACAGTTTCACCTCGAGAACAAGAGCACTCTTCCTCAAACTATTGGATGGTTCCAATGGAAAGAAAGAGGATCCACTCACCCAACAGAAGATTAAGTTGTTTGGCTGTTCACACTTCAGACATACGCGGTCTTCAATTTCATCAAAATCGGCAATCCTGATAACAAAGTTATTCGTTTTAGAGTTAAAGACAAACGAATTTGGATTGGTGAACTAAGAACGAATTAACTGATTCGGAACAAAACCGATTGATTTGTCAAAACTTTTCGAATACCGTTTTTGGAAAGCACTGATAAACGACACAGAAATTACGAATGAAGATATGATAAGCGATCAGCTCCATGCGCACAGCAATAATGGAATGAAAAATATGGTGTCTATTATGAGTAGTAACTGGGGTCAATAATAGAGAATATTACCAATCCGGAATGAATATATCCTGAGCAGATAATAACTGCTGAAACGCATCCTTGTCAGGACCACTCTTATTGCAGTGCGGACACTGTAGGTCGGAACATCGAGAATACGCGAGTCGCTGAAAGAAGAACAGTAATCACGGATGATACAACGTAATTGGATAATAATCATGCACAAAACTGCTGCTATCTGAATCTGGAAGGTAATCGCGACAGGAAATCCCTATCAACTCAGATTCGGACACTATACGTAAAATGTGTATAATGATGTTTCGGTAAAATTTATGGCAAGCCATGATTGACAGTGCCTATATATACGAATGTTTTATTTCCGAATGATGATCTAAAGGCTGTTAACTGTAAGTCAGTACCTGCATGCAATCATAATGGTAATAGCGATTCCCGCAACAGCCTGTTGCAATCACCTGAAAAATAAAAATTATTCATTATACGCGTATTTTGTTCAGTGCAAAAATCCCCATTGTACTTCAGGAATGAAGGTATACTTAGAATGAATCTGAAAATATTCGCACATTCATCAAAATCAATGGTTTATAAGTGCGATGTGGCACTTCTTCAAAGCTTTGCATTAAAACAATTGATGAACGCAAAACGATTCAAAATCCATGAATACCTTCTTATGTTTAATTCGTGCTTTTAACACCTCTCGGCATATTAAGCATTCCACCTCAGAATCCTTCTGCAATATACGTTAGTGAAAAATTTCTGTCATGTGAAATGAGAGCAAGCTGAAATATATAGTAGCAGTACAAATGCATCAATTGCATTACTTCCTCTCTTGGTGATATTTCAGCAAGGATAAATTAGAGACACCTGTATTCCAGTGAGGTTGGATGAAACGGCCATGATCATTGCATCAATTTGCAAGTGCTGAACACAAAATGCTCTGAAATATAAATGTGCAGAAGTGTCATTTAAATTTTGTCGGATGGAAACAACATTCATAGATTCTTATGCCATTTACTTTGAATCTAAGACTGATTGCATTTACAAAAATGGCACTGTTAAAGAATGAACAACAAAAGAATTGTTCAGTTTTAGTGAAAACAACAAATAAAGTTTATATCACTGAAGCCAAACAACAATATTAATAGAAACAACAATAAAATGAACATTGAGGACTGATATTAATAACAAGAATAATATCAACGATAATGTTGCTAACATTAAAACAACAATAAAAAATAAAACAGTAATAATGAAACTAAACCTGCAAAGTTCATGATCAAACCGCCACCCATCTTTTAAGGCACACGGCACATGTGCTTGATTAAGACAACCCTTAGAGCCATTGCATGGAATTGATGCAAAACCTCGTTGACAGATTACGCAAATCTGTTAAATGCATACTACTGAATGCTGACGTCAATTTTAAAACCAGTGTGGGCGGATGATCGCAAAATATTTGATATTATCGATAATTTCGAAAAAAATCGGTTTTTCTTTGGCCAACGTAGATGAGAATCTGATTAGGATGGACACAATTTTAAAAGAATGGTATGACTGGAGCGAGCAAAATTTATCCAGAGTCGTTTCAGCGAATGAAATAAGAACATATTGGTTATGAAGATATGGAAAAACGATGAATGAAATAATTAAAAAGAAAACGAACTCGTCGATAATTCTTCTCCAGCCATCTCACCAACGAATCAACAGCGAACTCATAGAAAAAATTCGTAAATTCATTTCGGTACTTAGTGGCTTCCATTTTGATACCTCCCGTTGACGTCTATTATATATAATTGTAATTAATATCTTTCATAAAAAAACATGTTTCACTTGTAAACCAGGTTATTAACAAAAAAAATGTATTCATTCGCGATGCGCTATGACAAAACTGAAGTCGGCCTAGTGACCCATATTGAATTAAAACCACTCACCAAACATCGCTCATGAAATGCGAATCTCATGTGCGGTTTATTGCAAAAGACGAAACCACCAAGCTCCAAGACGTCGTTCCCAAGGCCACAAAAAACACATCCGCGACTCTTCCTGCAGAAAACTTCTCATTACTAGCACGGAAATAACTTTACATAGATATTCATTAACTCCTTCATCTGTGCGAGGTTTTGGATCCGAAATGTTTAAGTTTTGCAGAGTTTCGGCTCTTGGAAATATTCATATGTAAAAATGACCATACACGATACCTTTTCAGTGGTGTCCGAGGTCGATTATTCTTTTCGTAAAAATTTGCCAGTCGCATGAGATTCTTTCTTTGACTCTCTTTCACATTCCACTCATCCAAAACTATTTTGCGCGTCCACTTTGCAGGGAAGTTCAGTGCCATTTTTTTTTTCAATTTACTACTGGGTACGGCACTGAAAATTCCAGCAAACTTTTTCGATTTTAATCTCACAATCAACACGAAAAAATCTGTAGAATCATTCCGTATTGCTCACGATGGTGAATAGGGTGGGGGAGGTAGGCTGAGGCTAATTCAGGGGAAACATCTATTTGTTTAATACATACACTAGACTCGATGCGAGCCTCAACCCGAGTCTAAGTCTAAATGAAGTACACGACAATTATGGTCTGGCGTTAGAACTGGGGCGAAGAGCTGATGGGTTGAACTGGTTTACGACCAGTTATAGACAGAATCAGGTTATCGCGGCACAGGTTAGGGCCGATATCTATCCTTAGCTTCATAGGTTCACTACAAAACTTAAGCTTTAAACACTTTCAAACTTTACAATAATCCATACCGCCTCAACCTCACTTTCGAAACTTCGCAAAATACATTTCCTTCATTTCAGTCCAAAAAAATAGAAATTTTATGAATTGAAAATTTCAAACGGTCGATTTCCCGCAAAACTGAACTTCTTATCATCACTCGCTATGAGGATCCGACAGCTGAGTTTGTATGTAACATCGCAGCGGTATTCCATTTCAAGTAAACCACAATAAATGTTATCCACGAACTCACTTAAGATTGTTGCGTGTTCTCTTCTATGAAGGTTCGCCCTCTAAAGATGAATTGGTAACGCATACACAAATCATTATCGAGCGGTGGTTTTCCTTACATATTCTAAAACACCAAAAATGAGGTGATCAATCACACTGAATGTTAATAATTCTGTCGTCAAATCATGCCATCAAGAACGGCGGCAATGTCTCGTTGAAAAGGTGAAAATTAATAAAATAGTTCATTTAAGAAAAAAAAAGACTTTCATAACGCGACCAAAAGAATTTCATATAATTAATCTATAATAGAATATCAAAAATATCCATTCAGAAGAGAAAAATACAACAAAAAGTAACAATTACATAAACTCACAACAAATTTTCATTCATGCAGGAACTGTCGTTGATTTTGATTAGTCCAATTCAACGATGGACAATAAAGTGTTTTTGTTAGCATTGCAAAGATTGGCACTTTGTTGCTGATAGCAGTCCGCATATATGCCTGTACACCCGAGCCATTTCTGGACATTCTCTTAATTGACAAGAGGGCACCAAACCCTAACTCGTATGAGTATGTCGTTGCGAGTGCAAATTCCAGCTTTTTCAAAAGTCTATTCGTTAAAGTCCATTCTCGCCTACTTTACACACGTGTAAGCGTTGAACTTCGCCTTCGCATGCTTCAATGTATAAAAAATAAATGAAGTTATCTCGCGTCCCCAACGGGTGCGATCACCCCTGATTGAGAAAGTCTGATCCTAGACTCACTTATTGTTGCCTATATGAGATATCCAATTCAATGGACAAATAAAGTCGAAACTGTTAATTCTTTCGAATAAATGTCTAACTGCTGATAATTTCATAGTCATTTTGATGTGTAACATTGATTTGCCCGAAATTTTGAGTATTTGTTGGATGATAATATTCATACTTTATTGGTACTCCTAATCAGCTTCATTGGCTGCATCAGTTTATTCCATCAAGTGATTTAGTACATGATATTGATGGTATTGTTCGATTCGGATTCAATTCCTCGTTAGCATTAATTGTTGCCAATACAGTTACCTAGGAAACGCTTTTTTGGCCTGTCCGCTTTGTGATGAGAGCCGTTTTATGTTAGACACTTTGACTTTTCATCGAACTACATTCATTCAACAATCTTTTAGAAGTTGACGATTCAACATACGCGAATATTCAGGCTAAGCATTTTTCTTGCCATCATCTTCTGTTTTACGTTATTCATTCGAATTTCATTCACCCAAGATTCAGATGGATCTTTCGAATTGGACATTGTCTTCATTAAGCATATGCAATTCCAACACTACATATAATTCATGATAATGTTCTGCTTAAAACCTATCACTGACTATATAAGTTGTCATCCTCACTCAAACTACAACAAAAAGAGAAATTATTCAATAGTTGCTACTACTCCGTTGATTGTTGTATTTAGGCAATCACAGCTGAGCTTGCATTAATGTCAGGAGAAGTTGCACCGAGGATAAACAAAGAATTAATAGTATGTCACCAGAAAATATCTATTTCTGTTAGTGAGAATCAGCAGGAAGCATTTTCAGTTTTACATTCATATCTGCAACCAATTTCAGAGTAATTCTTAGTTTCTGATTTCTGATGATAGCTCTTATTGCAGTCATTTGAGAGGAGTGCATATATCCTGTGTAAAGTAAACAAACGCTTCACAAAGGAATGCTTGCCATGATGACCCTTAATATTGTATAGTTTCTAACTTCACCTAAGTACTCTCTCTAAGCTAGTTCTCATTCATTGTGCTGACACTGTTTTCATCAATACTGTTTGTTATTGCTGTTCAAATTCAATGCTAATTTAAGCAATTGAATAGTCTCTTCAGCACTACCTCATTCTAAACATCCACTATCAAATGCTCCGTCGCCATTGGTTCTGGCTGTCTGTATACTGTCAAAAATAAGCTTGGGTCACGGCTCCCAACGGTTGGGTTCGGAGTTCCTCGACCTCGATTTCGCCTCCGGCCCAACCATAATCAAAACCATGACTCATTGATTTCCGTTCACTTTTTCTTTCGAGACGAAGTTGATTCCAAATGATTAAACGCGTAGTTGCTCGACTAGCTTATCATGTTTGCTTTATTTTTTCTTCGATCATTTTATCACCCATGAATGTTGTCATTCATTCCGCCTGATAGTTAAGTTTCTCCTCATCGAAATTGAGCAGCATATTCAAGACTCGTTCAGTATAATCAACAAATGTTCAAACAAAATGAGGTATTCAAGAAATGAGGTAGTTGCTCAGAAATGTTGCGTTCGTTGTTTGAGATGAAGCCACATTTCGGTTCTTGATAATATTATTCAAAAGCATTGTCGAACCGTCATCGATTTTCTGATTGTTGATTTTGTTTTGTCGTTTTGTGAGTTCATTCTTTTATTCAAAACCATTCGAAAGTTGATTCAAATTTCATTGGTGAAACTGATACTAATTGTAAGTAAATATACCATTTCCTAGTTTACTATCAATTTGAAGTTCTCATTGAACCGAACACGATATGAACAGCAATTCTGAAACGTTATGCTCAATTCAGATCCTTTTCAAACTCTTCCACTCCCAAACGCCCATTGATGCATTCGACAACTATATGTATTTGAAATGACCATTTACCGATCGCTTGAAAAGGATTCATTTTTCAATTGAAGAAGTAAATAATCTCTGTGCCGGATGTGATGCATTTCAATAGTTTTGTAATGAACTCAATAAGTTTAATGTATAATTAAATTAAGTTTTGCGCTATTCAATATAGGAACCGGATATTTGTTTGCTTGCTCGATAACATCAGAAAACATTTCGTCTGACGCTCTCATATACCCGGTCGAGTTCCAGTGTTTTGCGGATATGCTTTGGAATGCTGTTCTCGGTTCAGTGCACCTTCCATTTCAGTATGCAGTTGAAATTTTATCATAACTGTATTTCGTGCATTCAGTTTCAAGCATTCTGAATTCCACATACAACTTGGAAATATGCACAAGAAACGCTGCTCGATTACTTTGAAGTGGCATTATTTGTCAACGAAAGACGCAATTCGCCTGCTTTGCTTTTCAATTCAACAGTGGTGAAGATGACGAACGTGAATTTATGAAACTCAAAAGAAAAATTTGAGCTATCAAAACGATAGTTCAGTTTTATTGATAGAGAATTAATCGTTCAATGTCAACAGTGCTTGATCGTTCTCAAACAATGATATCGCTGAAATGGATTGGTGATAACGATCCATGACGATGAAAGCAGTTGATAAACAAAACCTTTTTTCTGCATTGATTCAGTAAAACTAACATTGAGCACCAGTCACATAAGTTCACGCGTGATCATCTTGCCACTCACTGTAATATTCTTTTCCCTCCTCCTGAAGCTTGCAATCAGTGAGCAATGGTCATTCGTAATGTCGTCGGTAATGCCTTATTTTAATGCGATGTACACTCAGCCAAGCATCAAACATTCCAATTAATGCGCTGTTCATCTTGGATCGAATATTCAGTTAATCACAGAATTGTAGCTCAATCATCTGCACATAGCCAGTATCTATAAAAGCGTAGACGATCGTCGATCGCACCGTTTTTTGATATTCACCAAGCAGTTGCTTATTTGTTGGAGTTAAACGGTAGGCTCACCCACTGATAACGAACTGATAACGGCAAGCAATAATTCTGCGTGCAAAGCATTCCAAGCACGTTGACTATGACAAAATATTTACTACATTGCTGTCTTCAAGCTCAAATTTTATTGTCTTCAAGCTTATTGTTACGCACGTAATCATTACTGTCAACATCTGACATCATTGAAGAATAAAAACTCAATTCGTTGCACCACTGTGAAATTACAAGGCTGAAACACAACTCCCGAAGTGTCGATCCTTTAAGTGCATAGTAAACACTCCGATCACCTCGCTCATTTAATTTTTGGAATATTACGGAAACGGAAAAAAGAAGAAGAATAAATAATAGCTGATAAATCTGACATTTCAATGAATTCATTGCAGAATAGATAAATCTCGTTAAATAATAATAGATAAATGAATAATAGATAAAGCGTTAAATATGAATCTTGTTAAATAATAAAAGATAAATCTCCAATCTAATAGATAAATCTCACGAATGATGATATCCAAATTATTAGTAGGCTATTAGATATCAGACACCGATGACATCATGCTTGACATTCTTTCTGCAAAAAAATCTTCACAATAAATCAATTCTCTCAATTAATCTGAAAGGTTTCGCTCAGGAAAACGGTAATTCAAGGAAATCATGTCTATTTTTGGTCGGGTTTCGAGTGTTATCAATCTTTCATCAAAAAATCATGTGTCTTCGAAAATTGTTCTCTTCGTAAAGCATCACCTTTATCATTTTTGTTATTGTATTCGAATGAATGCTCAATAAATCGAGTTGCTGAATCGAAAAAGTACCATTTTCATTAGCAATATACACCTATTGTTTGTGATAATGACATCGAATAGGGAACCTTCTGAATAGCCATCATTCGACATAATAATCAAATACGAAGTCCATTTAGGTAGGGATCGCTTTCAAGAAGTCAGTTTTTGTGTAACACTGAATGCACATTGGAATTGTGTACAGTTGAGTTGATATTAATTTATACATGCACCGTGACAGTCACTTATAGCTGAGTGCGAAGGTTTTATTGTTCCATTTATTGTGTCAACTCATATTAAAGGCGATCTTTCATAAACCGAACGCTTCAAAGTAATTTTTAAAGTTACTCCTTTCTTCACGCCTTTCCTTACACTTTGTGTATCAAGGAGCTAGTAATAGTGTAGTGAAATATTTTCAAATACTGCCTCAGCAGCAAATGTTATGATAATATTTTGGACTGACAGTTACTTTTTATGATTGAATCGCTTATCAAACACATCAGTTCAATCAGATTGAAATCTACTCGTTTCATTATCAAACACTATCATTGTTCAGTCACTGTCTTTGGTGGACATGCAGTTTGAAAGTCATCTACGCTGCTAGCAATTGCTCTGCTCTGTCACATGCATTACCCCCAAAACGACACCACCAACAATGACAATAACAACGAAATCGCTCCTTTAAAGGATTTCCCAACGTCATATGTTTTGTTACTTGTTACACATTGTGATCGTACCTAACAATTTGGCTTCCCTAACGGTCGCTAATAGCAACAGGTGCAGCAGATCGGAAGAAGCTGTTTTTGTCGTTTAATTTGTTTGTTCACTCGCTTCTGATGAATGCTTTTAAGTGAACACCGTGAATGAGTTGATGTTTTTAAACCGTGCTTATTGCTTCATTTTAATCCATTCCGTCAATGTAGCACAACAGCGATTATAACCCGGAAAAGATTCGCTCGATCTCCTGACACTTTCTCTCCAAGGGATTTCATTAATTGAAATGATTTGTGTAGAGTAATCAACTCAATTGATTACTCTACACAAATTCATAGGAAAGTTGCAAAAGGATGCGCCAATAAATGGTTCAGTAGAGACGAGTTTGATGAATGCTGAATTGTTGTTGAGTCATCGATATGAATAAATCTTTTATAACGCTTTTGAATCAGTAATCGAATGTGTGATTGCGCGCGGATTAACCGTGAATGCTATCAATATCGCAAATATTAATTCGACAACGTTCAAAACAGCTCTATACCAGCAGAGACTAATAGGTTTCATTCTTGTTTCACTACAAATTTGATTATCATTCTGAATGAATCTATTCGAACGGGTATAATATAATCCATTCGATGAGAAATACCCTTTTTGACATGTTGAATATGAATGTTGTGCATTTCAAACGAACAAAATGAATGTGAACATTTGATGTGCTGGTCATTTCATATCCCGGTTTCGTTGAAAGATTCATGCTTGTGTTTACATACGAACCGTAAGCAATGTTTACTCACTCGTTTGATTGTTAATTGTAATGTGCAATACTTGTAAGGTGTTTGTTGTTTGGATGATGCGATCTAGCGGTGAGAAGAATGCATGAAGAAATAAATGCACAACATTTTCACCTCACTATTACAAAATTTGCGTGTTTATTTTGTCTGGAGCATTGCCTTACTACACATTAAAATCAGAACGCTTCTCTTTCAAATGCTTCACTTCACTGCCCAAAACTCAGCAGTGATGTCCCACCTTTACGAAGCGTTTCCACTACCACAAATAGACANAAGGGGGTGTGATTCGTTCAAAGCACAAAACGTCCTTTCGATTTTCCTCCGCCATCAGAAATTTTGAAGTTAAGAAATTGAAAGGAATCAATTTGATAGGCATCTGCAATCTTTGTTTCCCAATTTCAATTTGGGATGGATTGGCCATTGAAATTTTCTTGTCAAAAATAGACGAGCTGACTGTTCATGCACTCCGGGCATATATGATTTGATGAACTTGACATTTACATCATTCATTTAACGTGAAGAAAACGTTGGAAAGGATCTAAAGTCTTCTTGGATAATGCATTCAATTCTGTGTAGATGATGGTTATCTAGAAGCGTTTAATGGCACTGATGTCGTCATTCATGTTCGTGAGAATATGTATTCGTAATTGGACAGCGTAATTTGATGTATGAAAGAAATCACACGAATTACCGCAACGAAAGAATGCTTCTCATTTTTAACCATTGTTTTAATTGAAGTCATTAGATGCACATTTCGTGCAGCAATACCTTTTAACAACACCACCTCCTCATTCCGCTGCATACATCATGCATTTCGTTTGTTTCCGATTCGTCATAATAGCGATAATAGCATTCTCCTTATTACGAATTCAATAAAGTGTTTGAATACATCACTAGCAAGGAAATTGTTTTCGTTCTGGTGGATGATTGTTGGCGTGGACACTAATTTGATCGCGTTTATCGGTCAAAACACAAAATTTATACGCAATATCTAGAATACTTCCTAAACGTATGCACTATTGAGTGATCCTCAAAAGTCATCATGATTTTAGTACTTATCGTGATATCATTTTGGGGTGGGCCCTTATAACGAAAACTGGTTCCTGGTTTTACATTCTATATGATACAATTACGAATGAGTCAATATCGCTTATTTTCCCAGTTCATTCTTGAGTTCCAATGGATCTGACATCGGTATCGCCTCAGTGATCATAACATGTCGTGAAAAACGCTCATCTTTGTTCGACTAAATTCCAATGAGAAAAATTTAATTGAATTGCGCATTTTTAGGTTGAATTTTTCACTGTGTGCATAATGATGATAAAAAGTGAACCTTTATTTACAGAATAAACAGACGAACTGCACTGCTCGTCAAAGGAATGAATCACAAGGGGAGTGAAATACACATAACATTCATCGGAACACCAAGCAAAAGTGTTATAGTGAGTCTTTTTTTTTGAAAAACATTTCCTTCTCCTTTAAAAGTGTCCACTTGTTTAATGGCGTCAATATTGTGAAGATGAACAATGATAAGAATTAAAATTATCATTCATATGTTGCCATGTTCATACAATGAGTGTTTTCGATGGAAAAGTCAATTGATTCAATAAGTGTGAAGCAGTCATGAAACTACCGAATCGACTGCGTAGTTTGCTAATTCATTCATGCATATGCAACACAAATCAATGAGATGCATTTGGGTCTACTTATGCGATGACCGATTTGTATCATTTCTAGTGTGCGATGCTCAATTTCAGTCAATCAACAGCTTATTCCATAAAACTGCTGGCATTTTATTATGTTCATAAAAAATTATTGAAAATATGATGTTTTTGACGATGCAGTAATATAAATCACAAATTCCTTTTGTATTTGACATTCATATGAATCATGCTTTGATTAAGGAATGTTTTTTTTNTTTTTTTTGAAAATCGAGTATTTGAGAGGATTATAAAGGAATGCTTCTCTGACAGACATTCAATGAATCTCTTCAAAAATTGCAACTGGGTTACTGCGCATTTTTCAATGGCTTATGGTTTTACCAAGCCTTTTTAATCGGTTGAATCAAAAACGAGAAAACGATCACTCAAAGAGTTCATCTTCAGAATAATTCCTTCTGTTGCATCTTCCAGCAATGAAATCGAAAAAAGCATATTGCATTGTGATATTTTCAAATCGTATGTGCTTAATCTATATAGAACTCTATTGACAATGAATTTTCGGTGGAAATTTTCATCATATTCCCAGAGACTGAATTTCTGAACGAGAACATCAGAGATCACTGAGCAAAATCGAGTGTTGTGTCTGCAGTTACCGTGGAAGCATTGTTGATTTAACGTTTTTCAATGCTCAACTTTTTCATTGTTGCTGCCCACGTTTTCGGTCTTGGTTCTAAATTAATGTTTTTGCAGTTCGATCAGCTGAAAGAGTCAGCTGTGAAAACCGAGAAGCACGTATCCTATAACGACACATTCTACTTCACATTCAATGTTGATGATCGTGAATCCGTGGTTGAACTCGTCGATCCTGGAATGGTAAGTGACGTTTGTTTTATGTGACATTGGCGATGATGACAATACGGATCGTTTGCCGTGATTGCCTCAGATCACTCTGATCGTTTCCTGTCTCGTCTCGTCTCGTCTCATCCTCAATCGTTTATTTCCTCCGTAACGATTCTTGCTTTGTCTCGTCTCGTTTATTTTCACCTTGATAATTTCTAGTGTCGCTCGAAATTGCGTGATGCATTTGCATTCCATTTTCTTGCCGAGAAACTAACGAAGAATGACATGAAACTAGCTGGAGCTAGATTGTCTTTCGTTTCGCAACCGTATCCATCTAATGTCACTTCTCCGTGTTCTCACTAAACAATCAAAGTTCACAGACATCAGTTCTTCGTGTTGTCACCAAACAATGAAAATTCACAGACAAACCACCAAAAAAGTGTGGCTTTGGACTGAAAAAACAGCTGCCGGAAGACCGATTTTTTTGCAGGAATTCGATGCCAGACCATGCGACCGAAATACTCAACAGCGGAAATACTTAAACACATATCACCCTTAAGGTTTAGTCAGTGCTCTGACTAACTTCTCGTTTATTTCATGTATCAGCATCATCCATCTCATTTCGTTCTCATGTCTCGTCCCCATCAAAATTCCCCTTTGACCATTTCTTGCCTATGCCTACAATTAGTTTGTTCTTTCATCGTTCCGTCAGCTTCCGCAATTTTCAATGGTTTTCAGTGATTAGTTGAAGTTTGCAAACATTAAAAAACACTTTGAATTTTTTCATACGACGTACTCCTGAGGAGTGTNTCATTCTACAGATGCAAAGTAGCTGTAACTTATAGCGGGAACGTTGCACACCACTACTTTCACTGAAACAAAAGCAAATTCATCACAGCATTCTTTAATTAGAATTTTCAGTTGTTCATAATGCACTTTCATCGTTAAAGTTTCACATTAATGGCATTTTAGACATTAATGGCATTTTCGCAAAGTGCAGTTATAAACTGATAACAATTCTATTGCTTTCCACAATGGTTATGACGATTTTTTTCCAAATATATTCTTACTTCAACATAACATAAGAATAACCTAACGGTCGCCATTTCAATCTGGCAACTTCGATGAATTAGCTAACCGTTCCGATCACAAAAAGAATTTGGTTTGCCGCCATTGACTTAAGAATGGTGAATTTTAAGGAGCATACTGGAGCGAGGGAGATGTCCATACGAAAAGCAGAAGGCGCAATGTTGTTCTATTCGGCCCACTCAATAAGTTCATTTCAACAAATCTCTGAACTGGTCAATGATTTCAGCTATCGGAAGCACGATAATAAGGCTGGTTCCTATGACAAATTAAAATAGTGAATATTGGTTGACAGATCTGACCGTTTAGAGCAGTGGTTTTTACGTTCAGATGCTACATTATCCCTTTTGATGATGTGACAGGCCGCCGTTGCTCCCCCCCCCCCCCCCCCCCCCCCCCCCCCCCCCCCCCCNCTTAGACCGTTGTGTTGCTCATTATAGCCATCGATTATGCTTGCATAAAAAGCTATTGTCGATGACACGCTTACTTCAAAGTGATTCAAATGGATTCTCATTCTATTCAGACGTGTTCTATTCACTCTCATAGCTATTACATGCGAATATCGTTCTCTTGACGAGTTTTTCTCATTCACTTCGATTCATATCACTTCACTGTTCAAATCAATTTCTCATTCTGTAGCGTATACTATTTACTAGATACGTTGACGAGTATTGACATCTGGAATCAACAATATAGCAATCAAATATTATTTCTCAATAACGTTCGATAGACAAACGATCAATTATAGAGTGTTTTTGATAGAATGAGAATTTGACGTTAATTGTTAAGTGAAATGAATGAGAAATTAGCAGAAGAGAATACTTTTGGTGATAAAAGCTATGAGAGTAATTATAGCAGCAATGAAAAGAATGAAAACCCTGTTAAAACGAATGAAAACCGTGTTAGGCCCGAACGAGCAAATGATACTCAGAAAATAGGAAAATGAAGAGTGTGGCCGTCAAGTAACCGCATTTACGTACCCGAGATAAAAAAACACCATCACAATGGCGTTCTATCGTAAAGTTACAACTGCGCGAAACTGTAATTTCCCGACCCCTCCATTGACACCTTTAAATTACCTAAAATGGGTAATTTCACTCCTATGAGAACCACTGGTTTAGAGTGAGCTCATAAAACCAGTTGAAGTTGAAGTCTGGATTTTTGTAAGTTCCTCGCATCAGGCTGAAATGCTATTGCGAGAATAGGAAACCTGGACTCTATAGAGATAAAGATGTGGAAAGCGAAACAGTGGTGTGAGTTTTCGTTATTCAATGAGATGGTCGATTGCAGTTACCAGTTCTGTTGGTTTGTATCGAAGATGAGGCAGTGGATGACTGCTGTGAGACATCTTCAACAACTCACTCATCGATCTCTGAGGGGTACGAATCTGAAACACCACATTTAGTGAGATCGGAGGGATGTTGCCGTGCAAGAGGACCTAGCATGGAAAAGACCCGCTCGTGTCACGAAGAAGGCAAACTTAGTCGCGAAAAGGTTAACCTGTTAAATTTCGTTTCTTCGTCAGTAACACCATGACATTTGCTGAAGAAAATCTTTCTAAACCTGTGGTTTATATAATTGAACTAAATTAAGAAGTAATACTTCTGCTAACCATTTCATTGTTATTGCCATCTCCTTTGTTCAAAAATGCACCCTTCATACAGTATGTTCGATTATTTATGCAATAAATTAGTTCGCCCTTAGTGCCACTCTACATTCATGTAAGCTGATAGCGACAAGGGTCAACCAGAACTCCAATGTGTTTTATCATAAGCATACATTTCCCTGACACCTGAATTTCAAATTCGAATTTTGAAACACCAACTCAAAGAATATTTGTGTAGAGCTGAACTGAACTTCAAACGAGCAACTGATTACGATTGCGAAAAGAATGAAATGAAAATTGAAATTTCTTGTCTGGTTGATCTGGATGATTCACAATTTCAATTTAAAATCCAATATGTGTATATTCAGGGTGAAGAATTGGCCAAAAATATATCACCCAACTGTAAATTTCTACCAATCACGTTGGCGTCATTCCATGAATCAGCAACATTAATGGCGGATATGATACGTGAAATACGAAGCAAGCATTCGAAGAGACATTCACGATTCTCGCACAGTATCATTCAACGAAAACAGAAGGTACAGGCGTCGGGTGCACCTCACAAGCGCGTAGTGAATGCAAAAAGCTCATCACTGAACTCTACGAGCCTTCAGAAAAGTGCCAAAATGAAAGTTGTTTCGGCTGTATGCACAATATCATAAAGCCTTC